GTACAGCTTCAGTGTGAAATGATGGTTAGTTATTGATTGACAGTTGCCAATGGAGAAAGAGAAGGACCGAGATGGAGTTATCATAAATTACTCTGTACACCGGAAACGAATACACAGTATATGCTGCAAGCTAGACTAAATAAGTGAAGTCAGTGAGTGAGTTAGTTCGTTGATCTGCCAATCATCCCCATGGCACATCAGACACGACAATGAGCGCTCTGATCCCATCTTCAGTATCTCCCTCAGCTTGTGGTGACTATAATACCAGTTCTGTGTTGGTCGGCAACATGTGTGTCTGCTGCATGTATAAAGTGCATACCTGGCAACTGCTCTTTTACATGGAGTTCTTGTAGGTGGTGTGTGCCATCTGTCCAAGGGCTTCGCACGCTTGCCAAGTGTCTAGGGGATTTGTTTATACTTCGCCCACAAATTCAAAAGTTCTCCAGGCAAAAACGTACTACAAACACTAGAACTAAGATGTCAACAGCAATACATTAGAAGTCATCTCTGTGCATCGGTCTCTTTATTATGGAAGAAACATGTTAGGACGAAAATAAGTGTCGATCAATGACACACTGTCTTCTACTGCCTTCTTAAATTTTTACGGCTGCAGTCTTTCCAGATATTGACGAAAACCCCAGCGAACTATGTCCCAGGTGCATGATACGGGCAACACACACCCGACCGCGCAGATACACCTTGTGATGTACAGTGACCACCCCCTGTTTGCTGTCTCTCTACCGGACCCAACAGTCTGAGGGTTTGAGGTAGATGCACGGTACGGTAAAAAAAAAGAAAGCTAAAAAGAAATTCAGACCGCAGTGTGCTACCTTGTCACTGAAGCATCGCTGGCTACCATTCTGTCAGTCAGCCACTGATACTTTCTTCACATCACACTCCACGTTAGTTAACACACACAAGTTCCCGGCACCTTCGTGCCCTTAAAGATCCCCTTGTCAACTACGTGTTCCATAGCCGCAACAGTCCCGACGCCGCACAACCATCCATTCTGGATTTACACAGACAGAATTCCTAAGTCTATCTCGGGATCCGCCAAACCCATTAGACAATTCCTATGAGCTCCAACAGAGTAACACCACCTTGTTAAAACACACCGGACTGGAACAAAACATGCTCAGACACCTCAGCACACTAAGACTGACTCAGAGGCACTGACGTGGAAAAACACCATTTGACCCTCAGCGGCCCCGGTCACCCTTGGATCTCAGGATATCAGTGAAGACCGCTGTTACCCTTTAATTTCAAGAAACACTCCTTTCACGTTTTGAGTAGCGCGGACTGTTTGCACTTACCTCTGCCATCATCATCATCATCTAGCGCCTTTACCGCTGGCGCAGGCGATCAGGCCTCTGACCCCTGGTACAAGTGAATAGAAAAGTGAGTTTACCACACGACAGTAGTCTCCGGAATCACATACTGGTCCTACATCCCGGAGGCACTTAGAATATCGGCTCGATCCTTAGTTTTTCATTTGGCTACTGCGACAGCAAGCTAATCCACTCTTTCATTCCTTTTTACCGAGTGTTCTCACAAAACAGTTGAAATGATTGCTGTCAGACGAGATTTCTTCAGTGACTCCAACCATCGTTTTCGAACCCATCCTGTCTCTATCTTCTCAAGCATGTATTTTTAAAGAGTGGCTAGACGCTGGCCGCTGATCGGAAGGTCGTGGGTTCGCTTCCTGGCGGAGCCGGACTTTTTTCTAAATAGCCTTGAGTGGGTACCGGGTGCAGTCCCGGGAAGTAAAGGCGGCCGGTGTGATGCTGACCCCATCACCCAACTTGTTCCGATCGGTCTTTAAAATATAGATCTTGCCCTATATGCCCTTTACGCATAAAGGAGTAGAAAGGGGTACTTTACCTTACGTTTTTACTTATGTGTTCTTTGGGATCAATGAAGGCATGTGGTTACTTTTTAAAAAAATGTAATCTTGCCTTATTTATGTCTAATGTTGCAGATGCTGATTGTTTCAGCTGCAAATGGCTGTCCATAAGTCGCAACAACGCACCGTTGCTTTCGTAAGTCCACTATTGCCGTATATTTTAATTTTTAGCCCTTCACTGGCTAACTTCCAGCAAACATTTGTACCTGCTCGTCCACTCCTGGACTTTGTGATTTTGTTTCACAATTTGAGTTTTACCTGCACGTTTATCATGCAAATCTATAGTTCATTTGCAGATCGTTTCTTCCTTGCCTCTTAGACGCTGCACTGACTTGGAAGGAAACATCCCTAAAAGGGGCCTCAAGAACCCACACGAAGAGCTGTCAATAGCTGTTGATATATTTGTCGTTTATCGTAAGTCAGTGGCCTTGCCTATTTCCCAAAAATTAAAATTTCTATGTATTTTTTACATTAGTTGACTACTTTATTTCTTTGTCACCACAGACAAACCAGAGGCCTATATTTTTCTTTTACTTTGTGTATGTGTGGGGTGGTTGAGGTGGGAAGGGAGGGAGATGTTAGCGGGCGAGAGAGCCATCTTTATTGTAACTGGTTTATTTCACACCAGGCGAGCTGGCTGTGTGGTTAGAATACTAAGCTATCATGTGGGAGACCAGGTCTCGATGCTCGGTAATGGATGAAGATTGTTTGGTCATGCGTCATGGTTTTCTTGTCCTGCAGTGTGGCGCGGTCATGGTTTAAAGGTGACTGATTCTATTTGGCTTGTGATTGTTATGTTGTCTTATGTGTCTTTCTATCGGTCTACTTCTTCCTATCAGTAATCATATATGAACGACTTTTCGCAGAAGATACGAGATCAGATAGAATAACATGGGTAAGAATAAGTGTATGAGGAATTAGTTGTAGATCCGGCAAGGACTGACTGACTTTCTACCCTACCAGGACATCACACAAGCGATAAACAAAGTGCCACCATATGGATGAGGATCGCTGTGGAGAGGTCCCAGAAACCGCGTTCAGACAATTGGCCATATTTATGGCCTGCCTATATTGCGGCCCCTAGCAAAAGCCAGGGTGGGGCTTCAAATAACAAAAAATTACGTCCTTAAAAGGACGTAAGGATAACCGGCAAGGAGGGACGGATGAGAGGAAGAGATCGGCGTGTGTATAATCAGTGTGCTACGGGAACAGTTAGCATGTACACCTTACGTTATTTGCTGCGGAAGACAGAGCATCTATGGGGATGGCCAGTGTGCTATGATGTCGATTCTTAAATCAGTTATCAGTAATCTTCCTATCAGTGCAAATCAGTTCATGTCTATTTGTTTATTAAATGCGCTGTTTCCATGGGCTCGGTAGTTTCTCGTCTGTTTATTTCCCCTTATTACGTGGTGACTACCCTTGCCATTGCTCCTACGCACGACCAACCTTCTCCCATCCCTCCTACATTGTCTTAAAGGCGGTAAGTACAGACAGTTAGGGAATTTATTTTAGAACAACATATAGCCAGGGCTATCTTCGCAAAACAGCTGATGCCCCTTCCCTCCATCGCCCTACCTTTTCCACGCAAAACAGCTGATGTTCCTCCCTCCATCGCCCTACCTTTTCCACGCAAAACAGCTGATGCCCCTTCCCTCCATCGCCCTACCTTTTCCACGCAAAACAGCTGATGCCCCCTCCCTCCATCGCCCTACCTTTTCCACGCAAAACAGCTGATGCCCCTTTCCTCTATCGCCCTAACTTTTCCACGCTAAACAGCTGATGCCCCCTCCCTCCATCGCCATACCTTATCCACACAAAACAGCTGATGCCCCTTCCCTCCATCGCCCTAACTTTTCCACGCAAAACAGCTGATGCCTCTCCCCCTCCTTCCCCCTACCTTTTCCACGCAAAACAGCTGATGCCCCCTCCCTCCATCGCCCTACCTTTTCCACGCAAAACAGCTGATGCCCCTTCCCTCCATCGCCCTACCTTTTCCACGAAAAACAGCTGATGCCCCCTCCCTCCATCGCCCAACCTTATCCACGCAAAACAGCTGATGCCCCTTCCCTCCATCGCCCTAACTTTTCCACGCAAAACAGCTGATGCCCCCTCCCTCCATCGCCCTACTTTTTCCACGCAAAACAGCTGATGTCCCCTTCCCTCCATCGCCCTAACTTTTCCACGCAAAACAGCTGATGTTCCCTCCCTCCATCGCCCTACATTTTCCACGCAAAACAGCTGATGTCCCCTCCCTCCATCGCCCTACCTTTTCCATGCAAAACAGCTGATGTCCCTCCCCTATCTTCCCCACGTAAAACAGCTGATGCCCACCCCCTCCATCGCCCTACCTTTTCCGCGTAAAACAGCTGATGCCCCTCCCCTATCTTCCCCACGTAAAACAGCTGATGTCCCTCCCCTATCTTTCCCACGTAAAACAGCTGATGCCTATCCCCCAAATCTTCTCCATGTAAAACAGCTAATGCCCCTTTCCCTCCGCCAACTTCCCAACGTCCCGTAAAACAACTGATGCTACCTCTCCTAACCACCCCCCTCTCTTTCCCAATCTTCCCCAAAGTTCTTCACGTAAACCACACCCCCCATCCCCCAATCTTCCCCACGTAAAACAGCTGATGCCCCTTCCATCCCCTAAATTTCCCCGAGAACGTAACTCAAAATACGACTCGAGCAACGGCCCTCAGAAATCTCTAAAAAAAAAATAAGCACTCACATATCTGGAGGACGGAGTTCGAAACCAAACTCAAAGTCTTCATAGTGCCACTGCACCAGTTAGCTGAGTTTTTTTTACTTATAACCCACGTAGTGCCGATTGGTCTGTAAAAATATGGGGGTTCTCTTCACATATGCCCGATGCGCCCAAGGCGTGAAAAGGAATCTTGACTTTACTTTTACCAGTCTCTACGTAGTTGTTATCTTATACCGGGAATAAAATTAACCACTTGCATTCGTTTATCAACACAGACAACTCACTAGCATAGGTGTTCTGTGTGTGTCTATTACTTCTCGTATTTAGTGCCTTGTTACCTTTGACATTTATTACCCCAAGGGAATTAACATTCCTTTCTACAGTACACCAATGGCACTGTCCAGTATACACAATGTAACAGCCGAAGTTAATCTGAGTGAAACTGCCACCTTGTCATCTCCACTACAAGATTTGATCAGCGACAAAGTTTGTTCCTTGATTCAGGCGATCAACTTCGCCATTATCTGTGAACTTATAGACGTTCTTGGTACTGTTGCTAACATTATTAATGTCGTCTGCTTCTGTAAACAAGGATTCAAAGATTCAGTCAACATCAGTTTGCTGGGTACGTATTTATTAAATTCTGTTTCAATTTTTCGTTTTCGATTTCTCTTCAAACGAATGCGTATAGCTCTCAGAAAGTATAAACTTTTGACAAAGTATTTACTCTCTTGGGACCAATCAACTCGTATGTTTATCTGATATTCCGCTCATGATGTCGCTTCCTAACTCCTTTCACCCAGTTCAACTTTTATATAAATATACTATTAATATGTGAGCTCTCGCTTGAATTCCTCCTGCTACAGATTAGTGATAACTATTTCATTGTCTTTGGCGTTGTAAACGAAGTTTTGGAATTTCAATATACAAAGTTGGATTGGCGGGCCGTGCTGCTGTAAACGAAGTTTGGAAGCCTGGGGTCAATATAAAGAAAAGTCGGCTAAAAATGTGAAAATAATGAAGAAGGCATGTAGATACTTAAAATAAAATTTTGGATTTAGTCGAAAATAGCAGAACCGTGAATTTAGCCTGTGACGTCAGCAGCACGGCCCGTCTACATGCGAATTGAAACTTATATATAACTCACGGATCGGAAGCTAGTCACCTAGCAATTGAGCCATACCGGGTCATTTACTTTCGTATTAATAAAGTAGTAAAGATCCCCTTTCATGACTTTAGGCGTATCTGGTCTATGCGAAGAGCGCCCATATTTTTACAGACCATAGACACTAAGTGGGTAATGTGGTCAGCATTACGCCGGCCGTCTTTTGCTTTCCCAGGACAGCCATCATGGTACCCGTTTTAGGCTGGGTCGACCTGCGAAGCCCCATACCATAACAAAAATCCACGCAGCCAGCAGTGGCTTTCCCTCGCGGTATGTTGGAATTATGAGTCGGACTCGCAACGCCTAAGCCATGGACGCCGCTTTACTTTTACTTTACTTTACTTTTCGTATTATTACATCGCCTTTTCTAACCTTTTAGTTTGCGGAAATGATTGAAATATCATAATAATGAACACTAAAATATTATACTTCTATAATTAGCTCTAGCGATCTCTGACTTGGGCTGTCTTGTGACCCTGATGTGGGAGTGCCTCTGTATCAACCAGTTATTCAGGGAAGCAGATCTTCCATTTGATGCCCTGGAAGTTCAGTACGTTACTGGAGGGTGGCCACATGTGATGTTTTCTCGGGTCACCAGTTGGATCACGGCTTTCATCACCCTAGAGAGATGTCTTTGTATAGCGACGCCTCTGAAGGTATTCTGTTGTTTGCCTTATGTATTTATAACAGTGATAGAAAAGAACTCTGTTCCCCGTCTTACTATGTATTGGGTATATAATGCTATCATCCAGATTGTTTACACAAATTATCACTACTGGATTACGTGATCAATATCACAGTACAATCTTTAGCACTCTTAGGCCATGTTTATTTAGGAACTGGTGAAGGGTGTCAATGAAGTGACTGCTACTACTAAAGTGATAATCGTCAGCATAGCACACCAGGTATACTCATAGGTGCTCTGCCTTCCGCAAATTATGTCTTCAGTTGTAGATGTTAACTGTTCCCGTAGGATACCAATTGTAAGCTCTTCGTGCTCTTCCTCTCACACGCCCCTCTCTGCCTTATGCACACCCAGTGTTGTCCCTAATAGCTCAGCGCTGTCAGACCCAGAGTTGCAACTGTATTTTGACTTTACTATTATGCCGCCCCTGAAAATCTCCCTTACGGTGTCGCCTGCTGCTGCCGCATCTTTGTATCATAGCACGGTGCGGTACTGCCCTGATTCTCACAAATGTATTTTCATCGATACTGGAGTGAAACATTTATGTATGTATTTCCCAGTCTGACTGGATGGTGAAAACAAAGTTAGGCATAGAATGCACTGAGATTATGCAACTGGAGCATTATATTTTGCAGATGATAGTGTTCTGCTCAACAAAAACAACCATGACATGCACACATGATTTAGCCAATACAGCATTAAAAGTAGGACTATATGCCGGTTATAAAAAGATAATTTGTCATCAGCACTAACGAATCAAGCAAATGACCAATGAAGACAGTAACTATGAAAAAAATTGATCGCTTGGTCTAGCTAGCCTAGGAAACGGAAAGATGGAAATGAAAAACTTTAGAAAGACATATGACCTGCATCAAAATTAAATACAGGTATCTTTAGATATGGTTATGATTAGGAATAATTTCAGAACAAATGAAATAAAGGCAGCCTGAGATCTATATAGTTCTTTTGAAAAAAACGACTTTAAGCACAATAAGGGTAAACTTTATCTTTAGTGCACTCCTCTGTTGTTCATGTGAGGGGGTTGAATCCATACAGATAGGCCAAACACTGAGCGGTCAACCTGTACTCATTCCTTAAGAATTAGATAATTATCTGCAATGTACAACGGCCGAAGTAATATCGCATTGACATTTTTGAAATGCCCTTTGTCTCTTGAACATGTGCCTAGTATTTGTTGGTCATCTGTACAATGGTAAATTTACGATATTTTCAGGTGAAGACCATTATCACCCCTAAAAGAGTCACCATCATCATTGTGTGCATATTCGTCATACTGTTGGCCAGCGTGTCCCCTGTTTACTACGCTAACAGACTCAGCTGGAAGTTCTACCCTAACAAGAACAAGACTCTAGTGGGACTCGTATTCAGCCATGACAGAGAGAGTATAGAGAAAGTCTCATTTGCTGTCAATAATCTGTTTGTGTCATTTGCCGCCTTTCTTTCTGTTATTGTCTGCACGGTAACTTTGGTTGTGAAGTTAAAACGTAAAACTCAGTGGAGACTTCAGTCTACAGCTTCTGATTCAGCTGATACATTCTCTAAACGGGATCAGAAAGTCTCTCAGATGATTGTAATGATTTCCACTTTGTTTATCGTCTGTTTCGCACCGGCCACAATAGCGTTCATTGGCATGATAATCTGCCCCGAATTTTCCATTGCTGGCAGGTACAAGAATATGTTCTTCTTGATTTTCTCTTTTGGGTTTACAATGGAATCCGCCAATTCGTCCATGAATATATTTATTTACTATCGAATGAGCAGTAAATACAGGGTTGTATTCTGGGAGATTTTTGGTATGAATATAAAAATGGTTAGTCGTCGTTGAAATATTCATTTCAATAAATCACAAATCAAAATAATGGTTGCATCTTGGCTAACATAGATGTTTTGGGTGTACCTGCTACTTCTTTATCCCCATTAAAACCTCTACATTAGAATCCTTACTCAAAGCAGTAGTTCTCCTTATACAAATGCACAATGTGAGAACCTGTTAATTTTGTGGAATTTCCTTTTGTATAGTTTACTTACCCACATTCTTATTTTCTACGTTTGTCAGTCCACAGTTTTGTAATATTTGTGAATTCTTTTCCACTGTCACTTCTTTTTCTCTGCTTCTGCCCTGTATCCCCCAAACGGAGCATAGGTCGTCAACCATTTCTCACCAAGTCGAGCTATCCTCTACTACTGTATGCAGCTCAACACTGTATTTAACTTTCTTCGCTAGCTCCTCCCACCCCCACCCCACCCCACCCCTTCGCCTCCTTAACTTTATTTATGTGCCCCACTGAGATTCTTATTAAATTTTTCTCAGGTGTTCTCAGTGTGTGTCCTATCCAACACTAACATCTTTTCTTTCTCTTGATTAGCTGGAATGTGTTTAGTTCTCTCCCAAAGCTCAACGTTAGTGATTCTATCATACCATTTGAATTCCCTCTATTCTGCGCAGGAAACAATTAACGAATGTTTAAAGTTTATTAGTAACTGGTTTAGTTGTTCTCCGTGTTACGCTCCATACAGCAGAACTGATTTGACATTAGAATTAACATTCGTAAACCTGTCCCTTCTTGTTAGATATAATTTGCCGGGAAGGCCTTATATGTTGCCAGTAAAAATGCTAGAAACAAAGAGATACAGTTTGCACACAAAATCATATTTCAGATGTGTCTGTTAGCTTTTTTTTCCTCTTGAAGAACTCAAAATTTCATGTATTTATATGTAGCATTTACAATGTTAACCATTTTCTATGAAAACCCTTGGCATCTCATCTGTTTCCAAAGACATTCTTTATCAGTGCTGCACTATCAAGTATTTTTCATTGTCTACAAATCGAATGTAACGTGGCCAATTCATTTCGATGCTTTACTCTTTTATTTTCTGTAGTATGGGCAACTGGTCAGTATAGGATCTGTATGGCTAAAATCCTGCCTGTTCAACTTTTTTCGTAGTGGCATCTGTAAATCCTTCCTAAATAATCATACTTAATAATTCTCCAGGATCTTACAGCAAAATAATTTCTTTATAGTATCCATGCTTCTGCAGATCAAAATTTGTTAGGTAGATTCACTCGATATCCATCTCGCCAGTCTGTTGGCATTTCCTCGGTTTCCCAGACTTTACTGAATAATTTGTGTAGAAATTCCGTAGATCTGTTTATATTGGCCATGATAACTTCTGGTAGGACCATCTGGACCTGTACCTTCCATTCCTTCGGTTGATTTGTAGCTTTCCTAATTTGGTCTTCATATGATATCTCACAGCTGATATCTAGTTCCTTTTAAAGGCTGGATATCTAGAGGAACCAATGGGTCTGGTCTATTAGAAGTACCTCAAAATATTCAGCCCATCCGTCCATTTAATCTTTAGTATTGGTATGAACCTTTCCTTGTCTAACATTTGATAGACTTTATTTAACCACTAATTTCCTTGTGTTGCTGTAGAGGCTTTTGAGGTTTCTTTTCACTGATGCTGTCTCCGTTACTTGTGCCAGGTCATTTAAATATTGTTCTCTTATCGTATCCTAACTACCGTATTTTCGATTTTTTTAATGAGCTCTAGCCTTATCAGCTGTAGTTTTTCTATTGTTTTGGTCAGCTGTCTCTCCCCACCCTCTTTTCTTTCTGAAATATTGTGTACGTTTCAGGCGTTATTCACATCTTATATTGTTGTTCCTTTTTTTTTTTTTTAAATTAAGAGCTAATATATAAGATTCATTCTAAACTCCCTTACTCTCTTCCTATCATACTTAGTGTTTACC